CTGTTCCTCAGCCCAGCCTGCACCCTCTCCAATCTGGGACCACCACTGGCTCCTAACTTAGAGCACCAGCGGGTCTTTCTTTATTTTTATTTATTTAAAATTTTTTTAAGGGCTAAGTCTATGATTTTTAATTAAAACTGAAAAACTGTCCGGGACAGGAATGACAGAGGACCCATCCTAGGTGGATGGGATCCTGGGGGTGGAGAGTGGGGAACATTGTTGACACAGTTGTCAGAATTCAAATGGGGTCTGTGGATTGAACCTTAATACTGTTTGAATGGAGATTTCCTCACGTGGTTCGGTGGAGAATTGTTATGCAGGAGTGTCTGCTTTTGGGAAATACACAGGGGAGTATCCGGGCAGCCTGTCATGTGTAGAGCATGCTCTCAAACAGCTCAGAAAAAGACTGGGGAGCGGCGGCGCGAGCAGCTGGAGGAGGAGCGGCGGCGCCGGGCTTCTCCCCGCGGGGGCCCCCAGCATGGTTGACTATATTGTGGAGAATGACTATGATGCTGTGCATGATGATGAATTAACTATTCGAGTTGGGGAAATCATCAGGAATGTGAAAAAACTACAGGAGGAAGGGTGGCTAGAAGGAGAACTAAATGGGAGAAGAGGAATGTTTCCTGATAATTTTGTTAAGGAAATTAAGAGAGGAACAGAATCCAAGGATGACAATTTGCCCATCAGACGGGAAAGGCATGGGAATGTAGCAAGTCTTGTACAACGAATAAGCACCTATGGACTTCCAGCTGGAGGAATTCAGCCACATCCACCAACTAAAAACATTTTAAAAAAGATCAAGAAGCGGCAATGTAAGGTTCTGTTTGAGTACATTCCACAAAATGATGATGAACTGGAGTTGAAAGTGGGAGATATTATTGATATTAATGATGAGGTAAGGAAAACGTGTTAGAGATCAAGCAGCAGTTAGAATTAATGCTCTGGATATCAGAAAAATGCTTTGTAAGGATGTTAATTTTTTGTAACAGTTTTTTGCAAGTTTATTTGCAGGTTTTCTTTTTTAATAAAAATTTTAAGATACAGACTTTAAAATGAATCTTTAATGACTTAATATCTCATTGTCTTATATGTAGAAATAAAATTTCACATCCTGCATATCAGATATTTACATTACGATTCATAACAGTAGCAAAATTACAGTTATGAAGTAGCAACGAAAATCATTTTATGGTTGGGGATCATCACAACATGAGGAACTGTATTAAAGGGTCGGGGCATTAGGAAGGTTGAGAACCACTGGGTTAATGCTCAACCACTGAGCCACACTGGCTGGGCACAGAAGCTGTAAATTTGACATGCTCTTGTTAAGGATTTTGTATATTATGATTTCTTGGATTTCTTAATTAGCATTTTACTAATTGAAAATACCTAAATTGTTATTGTTTCACACAACATCCAGAAAAACATCAGGATAAAGTATATCTTACTCTTTGGAATATGTTAGTGCTCAGTCATTTAATTTATTATTTTTATTTGACATTTTTTATTAGGAGGCATATAATGTAAACACTATGGAAGGCAGGGGGAGTATCAAGATTTTCTTGTCATTCTTCAAAAACGAATTATTCTTTCAGAATCTGTTTGGACTGGGCCCACCTTATCTTTCCCCTCTCAGGGGAATGGGAATGAAACTGCACCCGGATCGGTGACACAGCCAAAGAAAATTCGAGGGATTGGATTTGGAGATATTTTTAAAGAAGGCTCTGTGAAACTTAGGACAAGAGCATCCAGTAGTGAAACAGAAGAGAAAAAATCAGAAAAGCCCTCAATCATACAGTCACTAGGATCCAGAACTCAGAACACGTAGATAACAAAATCAGACACTGAAGGTAAAACAAAAGCTAAGGAATATTGTAGAGCGTTATTTGCCTATGAAGGTACTAATGAAGATGAACTTACTTTTAAAGAGGGAGACATAATCCACTTGATAAGTAAGGAGACTGGAGAAACTGGCTGGTGGAAGGGTGAACTTAATGGTAAAGAAGGAGTATTTCCGGACAATTTTGCTGTTCAGTTAAATGAACTGGATAAGGACTTTTCAAAACCAAAGAAACCACCACCTCCTGCTAAGGGTCCAGCCCCAAAGCCTGAGCTGATATCTACAGAGAAAAAGTATTTTCCTGTAAAGCCTGAAGAAAGAGATGAAAAGTCCATGCTGGACTAGAAACCTTCTAAACCAGCTGCTCCACAAGTTCTACCCAAGAAGCCTACTCCACCCACCAAAGCCAATGATTTATTGAGATCTTCTGGAACAGTGTACCCAAAGCGACCTGAGAAACCAGTTCCTCCACTACCACCTGTAGCCAGGATCAATGGGGAAGTGCCTGCCATTTCATCAAAATTTGAAACTGAGCCAGTATCAAAACCAAAGTTAGATTCTGAACAGTCACCACTTAGACCAAAATCAGTAGATCTAGATTCATTTACAATTAGGAGCTTTAAAGAAACAGATATTGTGAATTTTGATGACATAGCTTCCTCAGAAAACTTACTCCATCTCACTGCAAACAGACCGAAGATGCCTGGAAGAAGGTTGCCTGGCCGCTTCAATGGCGGGCATTCTCCAACTCAAAGCCCAGACAAAATCTTGAAGTCACCCAAAGAAGAAGATAGTGCCAACATAAAGCCATCTGAATTTAAAAAAGATTCTTGCAACTCTCCAAAGCCATCTCTGTACCTTTCAACACCTCCAAGTCCTTCAAAACCAAATGCGGCTAGTTTTTTAACTCCATCAGAAATCAAAGCTAAATTAGAAGCAGACGATGGGAAAAAAATTCCCTGAAAGAAATTAAAGCTGAGATGATTGAACTGCTGTGCATTGTGGAAGCACTGAAAAAGGAGCACGGGAAAGAACTGGAAAAACTATGAAAAGATTTGGAAGAAGAGAAGGCTCTGAGAAGTAATCTAGAGGTCGAAATCGAGAAGCTGAAAAAAGCTGTCCTATCTTCTTGAAGAGGCACAGACCCAGTATTTATAATGAAACTAGAGGCCCGGTGCACAAAAATTTGTGCACTCGGGGGGCGGGGGGAGGGGGGTCCCCCAGCCCGGCCTGTGCCCTCTCGCAGTCTGGATGTCAATTTAACCCTTAACTTGTTGTGCCTAAAAACTACAGCACATACATGGTATGCAAACACCAGCCTTATTGCTGTGCTTTTCTGCTTATTTTACAGGCTTCTCTATTACCCATTTCATAATCTTGTGATTTAATCCTTTATGCCCCTTCCTCTGATTTTTAATAATTGTAAAAAAAACTCAAAACTTTCAGAAGTTCAGTGTGAGGTTTCATACTTTGACAAGTTATC